CGAACTTTTGGAACGGCGCAGTATTTAGGGTTTACGGTATAGTCCCCCTTAAGTAGATAGAATATGGCTTTGGGTATATTACAATATGAGATCCCCATGTACCCCATATTCTATCTACTTAAGGGGGACTATACTACATTGATGGGGAGTGTGTAGGGGCTACCATTGGGATCCATTCCACTATTCCCGACTGACAAGCTGCAAGGCAGAAACCTGTGCAACATGAGGTTGGAGAAGGAACCAACCGTGCGAAAAATGGGTGCGATTTGACTACGACTTTAGCTTCCATAGCTCGTGACTTATAGCTAGGCTAGTGGTGCCTTGGGTCCTGTGAGAAAAGGTTTCTGAAAAGGAAGATACAACTCATCATGGACTGGGAAGGACTGCAAGGACGAGATGGGTTTTTGCCTGGCCTTTGTGAGAAACTAATTTCGACCAGGCCCAGATATCTTCGTAGCAGGAGGCACATCAAAACTTTCTTAAGGCCAAGGTGAGAACCCATATAACCCAGCTACGTATGTCGACATTGGGGATCTTTCTTTGCACCACTCAACCATATAATCTGCTCGAAACGACACACATAACTCAACTCATGGGTTCCAGAGAGGACCGGGACCTCAGCTAACTTCTAGGTTGTCCGAATCATGGTCCCTTTGCGGGTACCCTGGTAGTAGAGCCGATATTAAATTTGGGGCCAAATAACTACCGTCGATACTAAAATCCTGCATGACCCTGAGTACCTTATATCTTGGGAGTTATAGTCTTACAGCATAACAAGGTCATGGAGGTGTTTTGTACCAACAGCTTTGTATGTGTTGTGACGCCCCAAAGTAAGCATTCTTTCGACAACCTAACTGGGCCTCGCGCATACGTCATTGGCTTCGGGATGGTAGCCTTGGATCAGGGTTTATGGTTAGGGTTTAGGAGTTTAGGGTTCAGGTTTATAGGGTTGTGCAGTAGCAGTAATATACAAACAACAATCATGAGAAGAAGCACAGCATTGACATGACGAATCGCAAAGTACTAAAAGCAATCTCCTACATGCTGTACTCTGAATGCTTGCAAGCCTGTACCCTAGACTCTGAATCATAACATGTTTTTGTATCAGGTTCTCTGTAAAGAAATCTAGGATACGTCTTACAGAATGTACTCATTAGCGGCCTATCTCGAAAATGGGAGTTCCTTCAAGACAGCTCTTCGTGAAAGGATTCGAAAAACCTTACTGTAAGAACCACATCAAGCGAGGCAAGTTGAAAGAAAAGCCAATTTTACTGGGCTCTGAATCCGAATATCCTTCATCCAAGTGCAATTTCAAGAGCCCCTTAGTTCCAAATCTATGTGATACGACAGTCCAGTGGTTGCTGTGCCCAGGTTTCCGTAAATTGCTGCCCGAAGAAAGATCACTTGGAAAATGTTTGGCTTCTGAACCCTGCAAGCATGCTCCATAACTTGCCTCCTGAGGATCTGTAGATCAAACTCGAGATTTTGCACTTATTTGCCATGTACCCTACCACTGCCTATTTTTGGTCAGCAGTACAAGGGGTGCCTACAGGAGGCCTTGTAACAACACGTTCGGCAGTCCCACTCGTTTTAGCTCCAACTATTGCAGCCCCACATGGGGCAAAACCACAAGCAAAGGATCAGAATGTTGATAACCTTTCTTTTCCATCCGCTTTACCCAGAAATGGATCCCCTTCTGTATTCCCTAGCGCTGCATGCTTGCCCTGTTGCAGAAGCCCTAACCACGCTGAGGGGCATCTTCATCAAAGCCGCAAACAAGGTCCCCACCCTGGGCCTGCCATGGGCTGCTGGTTAGCTGATAGTAATATTAATAGTAGTACTGAAAGCAATATCAACAATACAAGAATTGCAAGCAAGATTAATAAGAAAAAGAATCGTCATAACCATGATGATAATAATAATGTGGTGAAGGAAAGAACGAAGGTAGGTGAGCGTTAAAAAGTCAAAATTTGACTTGAGGATTTTCATTGGGTAAGCCAGAGCTGCAAACTGTGAAAGCATACCTGCTCGGCCGGAGTGCTGAAACCGGGCCTTCTAGCGACGCAGCCGCAATCCATTCAGTAACGACTAGCCGTGACTAGCCACTTGCTCACAAGTAAGTTTCACGTTGACCTGGCATCTGTTCGCGGGTAGTCAAACATATCTGTGACAAAGAAACGCGTATTCAGCACAATACAGCAGCCGGCCTGTAGCAAAATCAAGAAAAAACGAAGCTGGAAGGCTGGAAGCATCATCCATAGGACAGGAAACCCTAAACCCCAATCAACAGGACGTGAACCGAGTCCATCGGTCCTCAAGGCTTACCGGAAGAGCAGGCTTCTATTGCTTCTGTTGCAACACAGGTGGTTTCAATGCTTGTGAAAGTTCTTCGGGCAGCAACTATCTCGCTCTTTGAGCTCTTGGCACTTGCGCAGGAGGGTAGCTGCATAAAATGTGTCCAACTGTGGGTAGTTAAAAGGACCCTGTAATTTTGAAAGTTCGAGAACCTATTCGCAACGGCTTTGGATTTCTAAGCCCCAAGGTCTACAAAAGGAGGTCGCCGGCCCGCCTGCGGAAGCATGCGGTAGCACACCAGGTGCCTGCCGTGCTTCATGGCGGAATGACCAGGGTTCGTATAGACAAGCCAAATGAGACAATGCTCCCGTCATCCTCCTATTGGCGCTGAACCTTTCCTGCCATCAGGGATAGTGAAGTTCCTATGTACAAAGCCTCTCAAGCTTTGATAGCAAAGTTGCAGTCAAGGGGGTTTCCATAAACCAGGGATACCTTTTGAAAAGTCCCAATTGATGATGTGGCAAGTTTTGCATCTTCGAAGCCTCAAGTCTTGCAAGTCCTTCGCAGTTGGCACAAATCAATCTTTCCACAGATCCACACCATCCCCTCTGAAAGACTGTCAGCTTTGCAGCCCAAATAATCCAAAAAGTATTTGAAATGAACCTTTCATACTGCTTTTTAGCCCTTGCTATTACCTCTGAGACAGCCAAGGCATCCTGATTCTCCTCACTGCTGACTGGGCACTCTCATTCTTATCCTCTTGTTGACATGATTCAGGGTTTTGGATTATGTGTGCTCCGAGCTGGCCTGCTATCAAGGCCAACTTAGTAGCCCTAGTACTGCCTACTATGTAGCATTCCTGAACAAGCTGCTCTCAAGTACATCAGCACCCTCAACCACGCCTCAGCTGCAAGATTCTCAAAACAATCCCTTTGTTGTCCTTGCCCCTACTGTTGATACTTAACACCCTATGACCTTAGAATTCTAGAGCACCATAACTCCCAACGTGCACAACAACTCACAAAAACATGTCTTGCAGCACTTTGACTACCAACCGTCGGGTTCCACATGTTGGCCTGCCGAGGCAGAAGCAAATCCTCGGCAAGAAGCAGTTGAAACCCACCACCACGGCCGACCAAAAGTCCACTAGCCTCAGTTTCAGGGTCAGGCTGGTTATCATATGCATTGCATTATGGCTCGTAGAGGTAGTAATGTTGCTTACTACGAAAACACCCTGACCTTCCAGACAGGTTTAGGGTTGGAGGGGAAAGGGACTTCAATGCATCAGCATTTGCAAAGGGTTGGACCTAGTGCTTGAGAATACGGTAATTTAAGCTCGGGCCTATACTTTGTGTGTGGGGGGCCTTGTAGGCTTGTTTAGGGCCAAGGCGCAACTTCTCATACTCACAACTTGTATGCTCGAAGCACATACCTTGAGTCCTGTCATTGCTACAGCATTAGCACTGTTGCTCTGCTTACTTGAGAAAATCCTGTATAAGATCCACTTCGGTACCTTGGTCAGATGTATTCCTAAGTGGATCCACCCAAACCTTGGCGATGAGTTGAATGACGACAGCTCCTCTTCTATGGCGATGAAACCTCCGCAAGTATGCGCCCAGCCTTCTGAAACCCGGCATCCTCAAAAGAAGCACAGGCAAAACCGTGTGGGCTATGGCCATTGTGTCTATTTGCAACCTAAAATTCTGATACCCATCTCACAGGTTGCTCCCCATTGAGTCTTAGTTCATTTAGCTAAAGATTTTCAACATACTGGCAGCCCAGTGGTTCGCAAGCACTATAGCCTGAACTTCTTCAACGCAAGCCTATAAACCTAAAAGACCAAAACCATCTCCAATGGCGACTCACTTATACAGAAGTATGACTCAAGCTGCACTTGCAGTGCCCCTAAGACCCTACAGGCATCATGGGGTGAGCTTCCGAAAGAGTAGGGGTCCCTTTCAATAACGACACCCGTACAGTCGGGTGTAATTACAGGGTTGTCGGTCCCCTGTCTATGGAAACTCCATGAGACTCCTCGCCACTCCTGCAAACAAGCCACAAGCCTAGTGCGGCCATGAGGAGAAGGGCCATGGTGCAAAACACAAAGTCCGTGCCGTAAAGGGTCTTCCGAAGCCCAACGTAGCCTGGGATTCTGCAGGGGTTGGTCTGCACACACGTTCCCAATCCAGCCTAACCGCACAACGACATGGCAGTTTGGCCCAAACCCGCTGGCGGCTGGTTGTCACTTCGGCTTGGGTGTCCAGGCAACCTAACATTCCGGATCAAGCTTGCATAGCAAGTGCTTTTCACAACTAGGCTTGGGCTTGCTTTCGGGTCTGTGCATGCAGAGCCTATCTCCCACTAGATCCTACGTGGCAAGTTGGGCAGTTTTCGGTCAAGGCATGTGCTAGTTTCTAAACTCCTGGTATCTCCGTTAGTCACCCCCGTACTACTCCCCTGTATAATCCCCCTATATATAACCTCCTTTAAGGAGTTTGTAGACTCTAGCTCATGTAGTATTGCAGCTGAGGCACCAAGCAAACATTGAACTGAGAGCCCTTCACCTGCATCCCACAGTCTCTTCAGGAACCCTCCTCGTACCCTTTAAATAGGGTTCAGGGTAGTTTTTTTGTTTAGGTTTCAGGGTCCGTATGTAGGGTATATCGCCGTGTAAAGGGTTTATAAGGGCTTCTATAGGGGTATGTATATAGGGCTTACATAAGATTATATGAGCTATGATCTTAACTCCTAATATCCCGTTAGTAACCCCCACAATAGTCCCCTATATTATATAATCCCTTGTATGGTCCCTGTTTAGGGCATATAGAGGGTAGATATTGAGAAGCTTCAGGGAGCATACTCGTCTTTTGAAGCCTCCCCTAAGAAGCTTTGACGTAGCCGAATGTCTGTGCAGCCTTGCAGACCGTGTCTACCAAAAGGCTATGGAGACATTCTTCAAAGAGCAGAGGACTACGCAGCGTGCGAATATTAAACATCAGCTAGCGCTATTCAAGTTAGAACCGCATCTTCAAATCCTTTACTTGGGGTCTTTTGAAGATGCAGACAGTTATCCTGCAGTGTACAACGATAAAAAGTTTGTACAGTCTCCAGCGACTCGGTGGTAGCCACACCTCCTCCAGAGTCTGCGATGGCCACGGGAATCTGCAGAGTCTCCAGAATGTCCTGCTCCATCTCATTGATCTTGGGGGAGCTCTGCTAGTTACTAGCGGCAATACCCTTGCGATGCGTCGGAGTTATCAGCGGATCACACGACTACGTCCTGTGCAGTGTGCACAGTAGTTTTGACAAACACCCATCTTGAGGTCTTGTCGTCTGGCTCTCTTTTGCTCAAACAGAGCGAAACGGCCTACATGAATCAGAATGACTGGGCAAATGGCTGCTGATAGAGTGCTGATATCAAATCGACTCCAGCACGAAACTGTCCAAATCTAACGCAACAACTGCGCTCCCCAACAACAAGCGATAATGACTTTTCCAGGGTTACCACCCGGCACGGGATGCCGAATTCTGCCTAAATTCCCCACAGGCATGCATGGGGTTTGGGGGTGCCAACTGCGTGCTGAGCAGCTTGCGCAAGGGTGACATTACAAACAAAAAGCACACACACATGGCCGTCCCCACAACGTGCACTAACTGCCCAACCCCTTGTGCCACTGATGCGAATTCTGCTTTCCAACGCGTCCCTAAAGGTTCTGCCTATAAAAGATTCATGCCTTCAATCATGCCAGCGTCCCGATGTACATGGTGCCGGGAGGCACAGGACATCCAAACAAAAAATCATGGCCGTTGGCAACAATGAGACTAAACGGTAAGATCTATTGGAGCTAGGATAAGTTGTCTGTAGTCCCAGTCTGGCCCTGTAGTAACCTAAGAACACTCTTGAGCAACTGGGTAATCAGACCCTTCGAAAAATTGAGCTTTGAAGTGTCTTCCGCCATGTCTCTCCTGGATAAGAGCTGCTGAGTTCTCAAACGTCCGCGAGTAGCTGACTGCGGTCAGGACCTGTCTTGTTAATGCTTTCTCAAAAATTGGAGTCCTCCCAATAAGTGCCCATTATGAACCCATGGCCCCTTGTGCGCATTTTTGTGAAGGGGTCGGGTGGTTGGGCAAAAAGGCAAATGCGCAATTTCAGTAGCTAACCCTCTCCGTCAAGAGCAACGTGTGTTTGTGGCGTGATTTCGGGGTACCACTCTGTTCGGAGTAGTGGGCACAAGACCCGAGTGCCCCAAGAGAGCCATACTCAAGCTTTAACCAACCCCAGGCCCGAAACCTAAAGCTGGACCCCAGAAAAGAACCCATAATCTAGAGAATTTGTCTATAGTCACCCTCTAAGTAGATAGAATATGGAGCATACTAATCTCATTATAACATACCCAAAGCCATATCCTATCTACTTTAGGGGGACTATACTTGCGTGTACAAACCTAGCTGCTCGCAACGGCTCATGTGGAATCTTAATGGTAAGGTGGGAAGATTATATCCTCATATGATCCGCTGGACCACAGCAAGTGTAAGATTTGTACCGATCCCAATGACAAAATGAGCATGAACAATAATTACTACTAGCATGACTTTGATAATTAGTTTGCATCATTGTTTCAGTTTAGCCCCATACAGCTGACTAATTTCAATTCCTTCATATGGCGCTCTCAATGCTCAAACTTGTGAGCACAAAGGGCTGAACCAATGCTGCTGCAAACCCTGATGTCATGAATAAGGCACTGACTGGCAGTGAGACAGTGACGTATGACCTCGGCACACGACAGCACTCGGCTGACTAGATATTGAGTATGCGCATTGCTAGCTGCTGCAGGATTGGGCTCCCACCCAGGAACAAGAGCAGTGGCCATTGTTTGATCAAAAGCTGATGATGCAACAAAGCAACTTTGTCGACTCTTACCTTGGCCTCCACATCAAGCCTGGTTGTAGGCCATTGAGGTCTACGCTTCTCGCGATGGCTAAGCCACAAACCTCCTATGCTAACAGACTCTCGGGCCTGCTGGTCAGCAGAGTTTCACGCCGTTGTTAATTGCTGTTTGCTGTCTAGGCAAGATCTAGGGCCTAGATCTTAGGGAGCCCAAGCAAATCTGACCATGCTTCCTCTGAGCATCCTGCATCAACTGATTAGTGAGGATGGTGCTCTTGTAGCTCTCCTCACCCACCATAAGCACGCCTGAAAAATGTGGCAAGACAGGAAACAGGACCGGCATTGTTTTGATGATATTTGATGAGATTTAGTAAGGTGATCATGCCAGAAGTCCTGGGTTTAGGACTCGTTTAGAGCCCAAGGAAGTAACATTAGGGTTATATTGGGGCCATATTGGGATAATGGAAAATAGAATGGAAACTATATTTTAGCAAAAGAACTGGCTGCAGCAGCTCGATTCGTTACCTGCTCTTCTCGTCAAAAAGAGGTTGCATGTAGGAAGGAAGGAGTCACGAACTAGCAGCCAATAAGCAAGCGCTTTGCATCAAGAAGCTCTTCCACAAATCGCAGTTGAAAGGCCAGATTTGTTCAAAAGCACGTTCCGACTCAGAAGTTCAGAGCCCCCTCAAGTATGAAGAGGACAAATGGAGGGCAACAACTTCTGAGATCTAACTTGGTAAACCTACTCCAATTACCTTCGTGCAGACTACACTGACGGCTCTACGCATATGCGTAAAGACGACCAGCAGACCTTCTGGCGCAGGAGGTTTGGCACCCCAGAAAGACAACGAACAAAGACCACGGGACACAGGAGAGAAAGTTCCAGGCACCTCATCGTGCGAGAGCCATGTGTGCCAACATACTCCGTACTGAGGGGAGGACTTAAAAAAACACCCTAGATAAAATGCAGAGAAAGGGCTGCAACATGCTTGTAACAGGGGTATGGGAAGTTACCTAGATCCAGAGCCGCTCAATGTGCGAAGCTGGACAGATGCACGATTGACTGCACACCTGAGGCCCCCTTTTGTAAGAATGCAGAGTTTCGCTGTACTTCGCGAGCTCCCTGCAAGGGAGTTGTCTCAAGATTACAGGGTCAGTGCTGTTCATGTTCTCCAACAGGTCAAGATACCTGTTTAACCTAGAACCCGGCCATATATGTATTCAAGAGGCCAATTTCAAGGCAATCTGACAGCGCAGGCACATAGGCAAATAGGTTCCCAACATACTAGACTCCTGATTGTAGGGACTTTGAAAATTTACAAGTCCCCCCATACGAAGACACAGAGCCTCTGGGAACTGCACAAAGACTGTCATCCCTGGAAGCACATAGAATATAGAAATCGCCTGAGCTAAATCGCCCTGGCTGTGCACGTATTCCTCATCTAGTCGGTGTATGTGTATGTGTATTTTATATATATATGCACAAAATGAGTGGCCTCTCTATATAGTGTATGGTGATGAGATAACGAAGACCGTGTTAGCTCCAAGCCCGCGCCTGATGCTGAAACCGCGAAGATCACTGAGTTCCTCGGCGAGAGCAGAAAGTGGCTCCAAGTCTCATTTATCAGAATAAGATCTTGGCTCCCACCTAGCTTTGACTATGTCATCGGCGTCTGTGGAATCAGTAAGGTGGGTTGTCAGCAAGTAAGATTATGATCAGTCTTGCTTCCAAGTACTTGAAACCAGATCGATTCCTGCCGCTGCGGCGGAGGCGGCGGTGGTGGTTGGTGGTGTTTGTCTTGTTTTTCTTTCTGTAGTTATGGTTGATTGGCTGGTGATTGTTCGCAGCAATGGCAGCAGCAGTAACACGAGCAGTCGCAGTCGCCAATGACGCCTTCCACCGGTATCAACAATGCCACTTCGACAACTATAAAACCTACAATAGGCCCCCTATATATTCCCAGCTTCCATTTCAGGATTTATGTTCCTTTCTATTTATTCCTTACCAGCTTCCATTTCATGACTAATGTTCCTTCCTATCTGGTTCTGATTTTTTCAGAAACATGTTCGAGGCAAGCGGCTGCAAGACGAACCAGGACCACTCCAGCACCTGCTTGCTGCTAAGCATTGTGTTTGGGCTTTTTTAATCGTTGAGGCCCTCAGAGACCCAGGTGTGTGGTTGGGAACTCTACAGGGATTCTGCGGTTCCTGTGGGGATCGTCTAGGATTTTTTTCATGTTCGATGTCACTGTTCATCAATTAGCTTTTACAAACGTGACGCCTCTTTGTTGTTCATATGTCGGAGGTGGAGTTCACCAGTATAGATCGTTGTTGACAGGTGTCAATGCTCAACATTACATACTGGGTGCATCACGAATCTTCAGAGAATCATACAGAAGCATCCTCGACAACAACAGTATGGCTACAACTACCGAAGAGCCCTCCTGAAACGATTACGTCAACTTAACGATGTCAGCGCTTCACAGTTCCCAGTTGAGCACCTGAACAATGTCTACCCAACATCTTGAACTGTGGGGGTTTCCCAAAGTTAGGGGTACCTTTTTGGGGATCCCCATAACAACGACTATGGTATATTAGGGTCTATAGTGGGGTCCCCTTATTTTGGGAAACTACCTTGTCCCGAATATGCAGTTCCTTGCAGACTCGGAGCTGCAGCGTCAACCGTACAGAGCCAATAGGGTGTACATATATATATATACATACATACATATATATATATCTTACCTAGGGTATAAAAAGCAATATTTTGGGGTTATATAGGGCATATATAGGGTATAGGGGTTATATTGGGGGCCGTTCAAGCCATCTAGTTTTCCCCCTCAGAACTGAACTTGATTTCAGGACCAAGCGGGTAGGACCCTATGGGAGCCATGATGGCCATAGGGTCCATATTTGGGGGGTCAGGCTTACCGAAATCCCCTTACTTTCAAGCACAACCAGTCCCAGGTATTGACGATTGACCATCACCCGCTGAATTTGGCAGCCCTCCTGGCCTTTCGCACGGGCCCTCGAGCGCAGGAAGCACAGGCCTGAGCTCTGTTCTTCACAGCAGAAGGGGGCAGGCCAAGTGCCGCATATGGCTTGTGTAGGAACATAAAACAAACAGTAAAACAAACAGCTCAGAAAAACATGAAATGTTGAAGAACAAGGAAAATATTTTAGCATAACCCCCGACTGTCAGGATTCCAAGTCTTCGTGAGCATATGAGGGCTCTCCAGGAGGTTCTCAGGACGAAGCCGAAGTATACAATTTGAAGCCCGAAGTGCTGTTCAATAAGGTACTGCATGACTGGGGCGCAGAATCAAAATGCTGCCATGCATCGAACGGATTGTTGGACACGCGGCCGTGAGTGCCCTTGTGGCAGTTCACGCAGCCCGGACCTACTCTTGGATGCAAGGATGTTTCCCTTATGTGCCCCACGCATTGTTACGCAATGGCGACTTCAGAAGCACCTTCGTGCATAGCGTTCCCTAGTATCTGATGTTGACATATCCTAAGGAATCCAAAATGCATTCCCGAAATATCTGCCATCATTAAACCATTGCCCCAACAAAAAGAGAGCAACCTAATGTCATGAGATTTCACCCCAGTTTGCTTGCAAAGCTGTACAAAGTGATGCTCCATGGTCTTTGCTTTTATCACCTGCCTACACCTTGCAGTGTGGTACTGTACCATATGGGTGTCCAGGTTACTAAATTTGGACCAGAAAGCACACTACTCCAGCTACGTGGAATTTTTTGGGAAATGCCCCTGGGGCCTTCATAGCCGGTCTCGCACAAGTCCTTCCAGTGCTCGGTGGCCATGATGTGACCCCCGGGGCATGCCATCCTCAACTGTGCAGTATTGTTGGCTCTCATAGATACTGAACTCCTGGCTTTATACTGTGGACTAATGTACCAGATGACGCTGGATTGGGATGGACCCCCTGGGGTCCTCAAAGAAGCTTTTTGAAGTATGACATTTCAGTTACTGGCCCATCCGGCCCATCCTGGTACACAGCGTGGTCATCAAGATTTGACTCTGCATGCGACTGCCAGTGGTCAGCTGCAACAGACTTTTGAGCCTCATGACCCTAACCCTAAATCCCTAACACTAAACACCAAACCCTAAAGCCAACACTCCCAAGCCTAAACCCTATACCCGCGGCCAAGCAGCAAATTGGGACAGCGGAAGCTACGGGAAAGGGTCTCAGGCAGAATCATGAAGCCGGGCCTGCTAAATCTGGGTTTAGGATTTGGGGTTTAGGATTTAGGGCTCAGGGCCTAGGAATTGGGATTAGGGTTTGGGTTTTAGGTTTTAGGGTTTAGGGTTGCGGGCTTGGGTTTTAGGGTTTTAGGGTTTAGGGTTGTCGGTTGAGGGTTTAAGTTACCACATATTACAATTAGCACGGTTCCCCTAGCATGCTAAGTGCAACTGAGCTCCTCAACAGCAACCCTGTAAAGGTCCGGCTTGGGACCCTCGGGCTCCAAATACGACTTAAGGTTCTTCGGGGCTTTGGAGCTTTGGGGTTTTAGTTCTTGAAATGGTTTAGGATTTGAGATGCAAAATGGTTTACGATTTGAGATGTAAAGGGCTTGTACTAGCTTGCAGTACTGGCGTTTGGGGATAGAAATAGTGACGAATCAAATGGACAAGAACATGGGAAATGGGATGGACATTAGGTAGACTTTGGGAAGCTTTCTTTAACTAGGGTTGAAGGGGAACTGAAGGGTACAGGAATGTCATAAGGAGATCATCATGGCCCCTCTTTCTTTAAGCGGTATGGAAGCTCCTACAATACTTCATATACTGCTATGAGACTGGCTGAAACCACGTAGAGTGCCCGTGCACGTCTTAGGGGGGCATTCTGACTAAATCGGGGTAACCTTCAACCCTGAGGGAGCCTCCGGCTACTTTGAATGATCGGCGGGCTGGAGCGGTCTCTGTGAGGGAGTTTCCTGGACCACCTCTTAAAATGGCTCAATCATGGCTGAAGCGGCGGGAGTCCCTGGCAACACTTTCAGTGGCAGTACAGACATATGTCCAACTTATGCCGGCTGGCATTCCAGCTGATGGTACACGCATGGATCAACTGCACAAACCGTGGGAGTGCATGCGCCGCTAGCAGCGGTGGTAGACCACGAGCCTGAACCTTGTGCTTTTAACCGCGCGTCTTGCGATTCTGACTTGAGTCATTGCGTTGTTGATCATGAGGGTGTCGCAGCAGCGTGTCAACGCTACCTCGTCCCAATGCATGCCCTGGCAAAGCAGGCTTAACAAAGCATACTGCAGCAGTAATGCTGCCTTGGCATGAATAACCCTCCCGATCTAGTTTATCTCCATTTCGGCCCCCAAAACAATGATGCCCAAAATGTCCGTTGGAAAATCTACATAGAATCACGCAAAACCCGATGAAAATCATTGTCCCTAAGAAACGTATTTTCCGGAAATCTCTTACTTGCAGGTCTTGTTATACTTGTGCTTTACCGGAGGGACTTTATAAATGTGGGTCGAGTCCCCAATGTGACATCAACGTTAGGGGCGAACACACATTCAACCTCAACCCCAGCTCCTCGAGGTCACAGTGACTTTCTTTGTAGCACGACTACTCTGCAGAGCGCTACTACTACAATTATTCGATGACCATGACGCAGTACATGCATACATATATATGTATACATGTGTGTGTATATGTATATATATATACATATGTATGCCCATCTACGAGTGTTTCCGGCTAAACGTTGGATTGGGTATGTTTCGGGGTATGTTTCATAGTACAGTACCAGACTCTTGATGAAGGGGACGTATGTAATGAGGTATGTATAAGGGTATGTATCGGAGGGGTCAAGCATGCTCCTTTTCATGCACTCCTGAGCCCCAATTAATGGAAAGACCCATTTGTGCTACTTGAATTCCTGGTACGATTTGGGGCATATAGATAGACCTTAATACAATAAGTACAGGTGCGTTGGGCTCGCAACCCTGAGCCCTACCCAAGGACAAGATCACCATCCCCATTTCTGGCCTGATCCTGATGATTTGGTCCTCCTGCTCTGTGCCTTCTGGCGCCTGATAGGTAGGGGAGGATCACAAAGTTACCAGAATTACCCGCGTTGGAACCCAAAAGAAAGCCCATAGCCCTCAACCCCACAATCACTACTGCCTTCCCCCTCCCTGAGGTTCCCAAGGCTTGCATTGTTTCGAGAAACCCTTATGGGAGCCCTCGCCCCTGGGGGTTTAGGGTTAGAGTTGTTACGATGCCCTGCCTGTAGTCATCCTCGAAAGAATAGAGAACAGAAATAAACATATACTGTACATACTTCCTGCATACTATCAGGTCAGGGCTGACTGACTACCAGTGTGAAAGCTCTGGAATTGTGGAGCTGTAACGGGCCAGAGGCGCTCAAGAAAGGGCAACACAGTTGAAACAAAAAGCAAACAATATGGGGGGGGGGCATCTGGCAGCACCTTACAGGCCTCTGCTTGCGGAAGAATCCAAATGGGGATTCATGGCACGTTGATGCTGCAGCTGTTGGTGGTGCTTAGGTGACTATCAAGTTGATCTTTGCAGAAGGATGTCTAAAGGGTACCCCTAGAAAACTTAGCATTAAGATGGGTTTTCCATGGACCTCTTGCGGGAAAGAAGCATGGGACAAGTCTTGGACATCTAAATGTAGTTTCTGGGTGTGCACCCAGCACGAAGTTCAGCCTCTCTGAATGCGAACTTCTGGAATTGCTCATGAACGCTTCCCATAGAATGGCACTTTGACATTGAGACCCCGCCCGCGACCTTCATTCCAGAAGGCCAAATCTCCCTGGCCTGAATGCAACTGTGGCCCAGGATTTCGCTTGTATTCCTCAGATCAATTCCCGCGAGGCACCAGACCCACACTCAAAGGCAGGGGGCGTAGGTTAGGCGGACCCCCACCCTGTAATAATGACTATAAGAGATAATAGTAAGTATATTAGGGTCCTCTTTTATTCCTATTATACCACTGCTACAGAGTGTGGGTCCACCTAAGGTATAGGTTTGCCTGGAATGCAGAAATGCTGCACGCATCTGCACGACACTACACTCTCAACGACGGCCACGACAACTCCTTCATGCGTACATCACAAAGGCAGCTACAGCATTCCTGTCAATCGTGGAAGTGATGATCACAGCAGTTGATTCGTTCAGCGACTCCGACACTACAAATAAAAACAATGATAGGTCTGAAGCCATTAAGAACTGCTAAAGGTCAAACAGAAAACTTCACAGCCGCCGCCACCACAGCTGTTGCCAATAGAAAGTACTTCTGCCGCTCCAATAGGCACCGCTTCTAAATCAAAAGGATTTTTGTTACTATTACTACGACTGCTGATACTACTCCACCTCCTCCTTTTACTGCTCCTCCTTCTCATTGCCCAAGGTTCTGGATTGAAGGGCCACCCTGCAGCTGGAAGAAGCCAGGCCTGGAGATTTGGATTTCTTTGCACGCGCAGCAAGGAAATCTTTATTTTGATGCGCATATGTACATACGTATGTATGTATGTATGTATGTATGCATGTATGCATGTATGCATGTATGTAATGTAATGTAATGTAATGTAATGTAATGTAAATGTTATGTTATGTTATGTTATGTTATGTTATGTTATGCATGTATGCATGTATGCATGTATGCACGTATGTACGTATGTACGTATGTACGTACGTACGTACGTACGTACGTACGTACGTATGTATGTATGTATGTATGTACGTACGTACGTAGGTATGTATGTACGTGCGTACGTACGTACGTACTGTATGTGTTCTATGCTGTATTCGCTTATAAAATATAGACACTATACAGCCGTCATGCAGTGCAGAGTCCATCATAGGTGGGTGCAGTTGTCAACGAAGATGTGAGAAATCCATGCAATCACCCCAACATAACATATATCCTTCCCCGATTAAACCCTAAGCCCTAAACCCTACGAAGAGGCACCTTCTCGGATCTCCTCGAAGTGATGGGTTCAAGTTGCGGTCCATTGCTATTGTTATTTCCCTGAGATTCCTTAGTTGAGGTAGACTCCAAAAAGAGGCTCCCACTCTTCTGCCTCTTCTGCCCCACGCAATTATGTGCCATTTTTTAATGGGTCCAAGTCAAAGCATCAAATGGGTGTGTGCCAGTCCCTCTCGACGGCCTCCGCTGTAAAGCTTTTCCGTCCCACTAGCATCGGGTTGACGCACGGACCCCTCTTCCGAAAAGACCCGAATCCTGTAAACATGTTGCGACCATGTGTATGTGGCTACAGTAGATGGTCAGAAGCCAAGCCAAGATTTTGTGTGACTGACCACTGATCCTTGAGTCCTGTATGTTATTCTTCTTGCCCAGCCTGCAACTGTGGCAGCCGGTTTCGATGGCATCAACGTATCCTGGCATAGGGCAGACTCCATGCGCGCAAATGCAACTTCAACAAGAGGGAGGGGAGCATTGCAGAGAGCTCTCTCTAATGGCATACGGGGCACCATGCCACGAAAACACGATGAAATTCCAACACGATGCCTGTGGCGCTCGGAGGACAACGGGTTTCTGGATTTGCAAAGTTTCCAATATCTCGGTGCCCTGGCTTGGTGGTCTTGAAGCGTTTGGTAACTGGACGTGTATGGGATACACGAGTGCCGTGGCCACCAAGAATTGAATGGAACATCGTGATACATATACTACTTAGGTTCAATAAGGCAGCACACAGAAGATGTGACAATGGCAACTAAATGGGTATGATCGTTCTGTTTGCGGTTTGGCCGCTGTCCATACTAGACATGCTGGGACTCGAGTCGAAAGAGCAAAGCCTTTCCGTAGAGGAGACTACTGTGAATGTCCTTCCAAGCCATTGTCGCAGGAGAGCATGGTGATAGTCCTGACATGGGGAACTCACACCTGAGGTTTCGGGACTGATTCTCCACCATTTTGATGGGGTTGTTTTGAAAAAAGGGCTGGGGTGCATGCCAACTGTACTGTCCAAACACCTCAACAATGCATAAATCTTCGTTTGGGGTTGGGAGAGCTTAAGGATGACATGTTCTCCCCGCTGAGTCTTCCATGATTCTGTCATTATCCCTGCAGTGCCTGCTTCAAGAGACGCCCCGCACGCATGTCCCTGCGGCATACTCGTCTTAGCAGTATCAAGAGCTCGCGGTGCACAATTTCAGGTAATGAGATGCCCCAAGTGAACCGTTTCGCTACATGTCGCGTATGGCGATTTGAAAATCAAAGAAGAAGCCTTCACTCCTCATGACCCAGCCTTGCACATTGAATGGCCACAACGTCCCAAACCCAGAGCACAAGAAGAATACTCAATACTATAATCTACCATAATACAGAATAATATACTATAAGATACTAATTTTAGTCTACAACAATATATATAACCCTCCATAGCTCTTCCATCGTTTCATTTGGTCATGAGCCTGTGCAGAGCAATAACCACTACCTAGACATGAGAATGTGTCTGTCCTGGTCGGCGCCAACATGCTTGCTGGAGTACCTTGAGCTTTGCGATTGGAGTGGGTTTGTTAGTGGAGATGGAAATTGAAGAGCTTTCCAAGCGGGAGTGAGAGGGATGAAGGCCTACAGCCGACAATAGGGCCATCGGCTTGTCTCCATTGCCCTAAACCCGAAAGCCCACACCCTGAGGCCCACGGGGTAAGGTGTCTGGTCTTGTTAGTAGCCTTAGGGCTTGTGATTCAGGATGTATGGGGTTGAATGTGTTGCGATGGTTCCTAGAAACCCTGATAGACGGTCCCGAATGCTGGGTTCCAATGTAACATTGGGTGGCAACAACAACGCATTTCTCTGGGCCGAGACTCTTCTGCTTCAATGAAACATGACTCTTTGAGGAAATCTCAAACGGAGTAGCAATGAAGACGCCAGCGCATGAGTGCACTAGGATGCTCTCCTCCCAGTCTCAAAGGAACAGGGTTTAGGCCCATGCCCACCCATGTCCAAACCCAGGAGGTTCAATAGCATACTAGAACCCGCCAAGGAGGCTTCACTAAGGCCATTCCAACTGCTGCCCTCTCATCCCCACGATCTGAGGCATATTGACTTAAATTGCTGCACCTAAAGAACCTCACAGAACATGAAATGTAGACATTGTCTAAGTAGCCTCCCACCGATATGACACAGTGTGGAGCAAAGAAGTTGGAAAGCAAAGGCACCATGAAAACAGCGGCAAGCAAAGGCACCATGATAAACAGCATGCTACCGAGAACACTGCTCTTGATCGCCAACTTGCTGCATAAAGACTTTAAAAAGCAGCTACCCGAAGAATGCTACCCTTAACTAGACCCTGCACCTAGGATACTGCCCCCACCCAGTAACAGTCTATAGTAGGGGTAACATTAGCGGCTACACATAATCATGCTAACAATATAAGCCAACTGCTACTGAGGGGGGCGGGGGGGGGCAGTATCCAAACTACACACCCTCCGGCAGGCCTTTGACCACGATGGAGCCGTTGATCTGGATCCTCGTTGCACTTTGAATCTGAGGAGCAGGTGAATTGATGAAGGCAAGCTGCCTCAGTTCACGGCTGGGGGGTCTCGTAGTTAGGGGTTCAGGGTTTAGGGCATTGAGCGATTTTGGGTTATAGGGCTAGGTAAGTATATCATGAAACAGGAGCGAAATCAACAAGTTAATTTGTAATTAGTAATAAATGGAACTAGAAGAGACTATTCCATGGTCATAACTTAGGTTATAAATTATTCCCTACCTCGGTTCAGGGTTAGCGAAAAGTGCTGATGGAGGGAGAGGTGGAGCTGCTTTGGATTCTGTGAGAGCACGACAGAACGGGTGAGGTGTCACGGCCAAGCCTTCTATGCACTGTTCGGAATCGATGGAGCATCGAATGGAAAAGACAATGGAACATGAAATGGACAGTGACATTATATACAGGGCTACAGGGTTGACACCAAATTTGCATAACCCGAACTACCTTGTACTTTGGGAGTTATGGCATCCTGGCACGAGCATGAAGTGATGTGGTCTGCTGCATAAATTTCTCGTGCACAAGATTATGAACGGACAGCCCACATATGATCCCTCAAGCTGATAGCACAACATTGATATCCCATATGCCGGCAGGAGTCTGTGCGTTCATTGCATTCGATGTGACGATGACCTGGGCCAGTTACGTCGTGTTGTGGAAGTTGTTAGCGACGATGGTACCTATTAACACAACAAGAAAACTGCAACATCTTGCCCATTCAAGTGGCAGTTTACCATATAAAGGGACCCCAATATTAGACCCAAACCTAATATAATCCTAATTCTGGGGGATCCCGAGAGAAGTACCCCCAATAAACTCCAAGTATGTGGAATGCAGTGAGACCTGGCTCGAGGTCGTCCACTGGCGTCTAAGAGCTTGGGCCGGGCTTTGCATTGCAAGCCATGCGCCAGCAGGCCAAGTGAAGGGATCTTTGTTTGAGGGTTTTAGGGTTTAGGGTTTTATGATTCAGGGTTTTTAGGGTTTAGGCTCTGCTGGTGCTAATGCTTACCTCTTCTATTGTCGAGGTCGACGGTTCAGTTGCAAACAGGCGCAGCGCACGCGTGTAATGATATTCAGGGCCAAACGTGTCAATATTTGATTGGGGGGAGAACATATTGTATCTCTCTATGTATATGTATGTAGAGCAACAGTGATACGTGCGCATAAGAGATAATCTTCAGAATCTTTCAGGCTTCTACATTACTACATATGTCAGCAGCGCCACTGCATGTGCAGACTAAGCCCCAAAACAACAATCTATCAACTGGGCTGAATATAACCCCAATATAACCCCATAATCCCTACATAAACCATTATAGTAGTTTCAATTTTCTTTCCATTATCCCAATATAGTAATATAGCCCCAATACATAATTGACCTGCTAATGCACGCACCTGCCTTCATGTTCAAGCTTCGCAGAAGCCAAGTTGCTCCACCGTCAGGCACGGATGCATTGGCAATCGCAACAGGAGATTCCTCGTCTGGACAGCTATTGAACCAGACGCACATGGCTAGCACATCCAACGCGACATAAATAATGAATATTACTAGGATTGTCATTATGATATGTAATAGACTTAATCAACATACAACTTCCTTGAACGCAAGCTGAGGGATCTGCCGGAAACAGGAAACAGGGTTGAGCATTTGAGCCCTGTCAGAGCTTCACAACATATCAGACCTGGGTGAGGAAGCTTCAGCAAGCATAGCATAGGTTCTTTTTCTGCCACCCCACTAGACCTGTAACAGAAATAATGAATCAGTTCTAATACTTCGTGAGGGTTACCCTATAACTAAAAACTCTTAACCCTAAAGAATTCTTAAGGAGACCACGCTTGTGGCCTTCTGCGATAGCCAGGCTGCAAAGTCCACCCTCCTGGCATTGACGGCAGCTCCTGGTTGCAAGGCTAAATATACAGGAGTTATGCAAGCTGCGTGAGATTTTAATAGGGTTTAGGATAATACCCCGAATAGTTCAGAATCAAAGAGAGAAGAACATGGACAATTCACTTCAAACCGGGTTTACACGCATTAAGGTTTCTGAACTCAAGTGTCCCCTTTGGGAGTCCTTATTGTAGTAAGGATCACGGGCGCCTAAGGATTCAACCCCCCACTTCAGGTCTTTGAGCCAGGGCTCGGAAAAAGTACTTGCAAGGTCCTAGACCCAGAGAAATTTAGTTTTCATGATTTCCTTTCAAAGAGGTCCAAAACTGTCCTGAATGGAGGGCAGCTTCAAGAACCAAGCCAAGATGCACACTGGCAAGTTGCTTCGTTCCACAAGAAGTGCTTAGATTTGTCTGAAGATTGACTGTCTTCGAAACCATCCTTCAAACATCAAACTAGATTCAGGGTAAACGCTTGTGGCATCTGATGTTGGAAGCTGCTCAACATGTCTTCTGCGAATGGTTCCGATCCTCCACGAACGCTCGTGGCAATCACATTGAGGAACTCCACCTGTGAAGCTGTCCGGTCGTAAAGAAGGGTGACTGCAAGCAACAGCTCTTTGGTGTGGAGTAGTCTGCAAATCAATGGACAACTCTTTCCGGGCCAGAAAGAGCTCCCAGGAGCAGGTTTACAGCACTTTGCCCTAAAAACGGCTAAGATCATGGGTTGCCGTCGTGGTTTTAGCGTTAATGCGTACAAAGACCAGACACTGAGACTAAAAGACCAGTTGGGATGTGCACGCACTGCTCTCAGCAAGAATGCGACCACACAAGTGCCTGGCAGCAAGATGCTCCATCGGGCCTCATGCTGTTTGATAAGTATGCGAACACTCTGCAAATAACTGCAGCGGAGAAGTCTTGGATCATCAACCGTTCAAACACACCTAAACCCTAAACCCTAAACCCGAACCGTTTAAACACACTTAAACCCTAAACACTAAAATTAAACCCTACACCCTAACTGCTTAAACACATTGTCTCCGCTTCACTTTAGCACCTCCTCCCCACTGTTCAGCTCACTATGAACTACGCTTTACCGTTCCTGGAATTGATGTCGCGAAGTACGTAGCCCTAGCAAACCGAAATCGTATGCAACTGGCATGGTTCTTAGTACGGAGTAAGGCAGTATATTATATAGGGTTTATGCAGGGTTTAGGGTTTAGGGTCAAGGGTTAGTAGGGAACAAGGAAACCTTTTATATTGAAGCTATATAGGGATTGTATTCCCTGCTTCCCTTCTAAGAACCACTAATTAGCCCTGTATGATCGCGACGCACGCTGTTTCCATAATATAAGTTTCCATTTTCTCTTCCATTTGATTCTCCATTAGCTATAGCAGGTATGTTACCCAATTCCTTACTAACCTGGAACCTAAGTCCTATAAGGGATATGCCCTGTTATAATGAAGTCACTTCCCTTATCTTTTCCACTATCCCTATATCAGCTATAGTCTAAACTCCTAGTATCCCCCTTCATAAGCCCTATAATACTCCCCTATATAATCCCCTAGATAACGATCTTTAAGCATTTTAGACTATAGCTACCCTAAACCCTAGGCCCCAAACCCTACGCCCTAAACCCAAAGCCCTAAACCTGAACCCTAAGCACTAAACCCTAAGCAGTAAACCCTAAATCCTAAATTCTACATTCTGAACCCTAAAACCCTAAGCCCTAAACCCCAAACCCTAAACTACCCTGAACCCTAAATCCTAAATTCTGAACCCTAAACCCCAAACCCTAAGCCTTAAACCCTAAACCCTAAACCCTAGAGGCTCTCCATCTGCTGAGGGACATGCCCACGGACCAAGAGTTGGCCTGCCACACGCAGCACGTGAACTTGAAGAGGGGTTAGGGGTTGAGAGCTTTAGGGGTTTAAGCTTTAGTTATGGGTTTAGGGTTTAGGAGATTAGGGGTTTAGGGGGTTTAGGGGTTTGGGAGTTTAGGAGTTTAGGGGTGTAGGATTTAAGGATTTAGAGCTTGTGGTTTGGAGTACTCGTTGCCCTGTCTGTGGAAGAGTCGCTGCAACAAAGCCGCAGAGACTCCGGGTCTTGTGATACAGTACTGTATGACTGAGACACACATGAGCTGCAGACATGTCTGGGGCACAGACTACTGTTGATGAGAAATCTTGCACCATCTTTGCACCGCTTGAAGTCCCTGAAGCCTTACTGTTTGAACTGAAAATCCTGCATAGCCACTTACTATACTATAGCACAATAATTCCCAAGGCATAAGGTACTTGGGGTCATGCAGGTTTTTAATATCCCCGTAGGAATTGCAATATTTTAGGGGGCCTGACACTGGGCGGGTTGTGTCAGTCACGACGCTGCCTTCGATGAAGATGCCTCCGCCCACAGCCGACTTACAGCCGCGGAAGGCGTGCGAAGCAGTCTCAAGGGCAATGTAGTTGCCTGGGCTTCTTGGGTCCAGAGTCCAGAGACTTCAACATTCAGCGTATGGGTCTGGATGTGCTTACCTGGGTTTCTTGGATCTAGAGGCTTCGACATTCGGCACACGGGTTTGGATGCAGATTAGCATGTATAAGCATGTGTGAAACGTGTGGGAACATGGTGAATAAACATGATCGCTGACGCCTTTGCGCATCGTTACCACACCTTCATCACCGTAATCATCCTCCCTCCTCCCCGTCGCACCTGAATAAATAAGGCCATGTGTGAATGTGCATATCCAGAAACAAAAAGTCCGCAAGTCAAGACAGCCTTATGCATAGGAACTGGCTGCAGCATTCAGCTTACAAAAGCATCATGCCACTTCTTGAAATCAACCGCGAGCGGCTTCTTCAACAATGCTATGCAAGGATTTATCTTAAGCCACGTCGCCCAAAGCACTTTATTACAGCTCCGGACAAGCGGCTGGAGTACAGCGTGTACTGAGTTCTGGTTCTGGCCAGCGTAAAATTGGTGACGTCCTTGCAATGCGAGGCTCGGCAAAGGCTTTGGCAGGCACAGTATCTGGGGAGGTTGTCGACATAGGGGTGCGGTTAGGGAACCTGAGAATACATGGAAATAGAGAGAGAGAGAGAGAGAGCTATATATATATATATACGTATATATATATACACATGCGTATATGCAGACAATGCGGACTGGTTTAGGTAGTGCATGGGGTATTTGGGGGAATCATCTGAGCATGTGTGACAGCTTGGACCCCTTTTGCACAGGCTCCTTGCCGAGGATCCTACTAGCTCTAGCACCTACCAGCCTGGAAAGCATTGGACCCAAAGACTGGGCATCCCCACAAGTAGGTGCAGGTGAATGTGAGTAAAACTCCGGAAGCATGAACAAACTGATGCATAAATGATGCGTCTATGTTTGGGTACACACGCACCATGAGTATCAATCTTGAGGCAGCTACGTCCACGCTGCAAAAACTGAGACAGCCAGTCTGACTGCTCTTGTGTAGGATTCCTCTCTGTCATTTCATGTTCCGATGTATGAGCTCTACGAAGCCCTTGACACACAAAGTACAGCAGCTTGTGCCAAGGGCTGTAAGGGCGAGTATCTTTAATTACCGACACTGCGTCCGTGTACCTCTGTGAGTATATGGTACATGGTACGTACCGCCTCAAGAGCGTCAGATGAACATATGCCACATGGCAAGCCTGGGCTAAACAGTTTTTTAGCAGGCGTCGGACCCATGTAGGGGAGCATCAAGATCAGCTATCGTAATTGCAAATAGGTACTATATAGTAGTTTCTATTTTGTTTTGCATTTTCCCAATATAATCCCAATATATACCTTATATTAATGTGGGGGTGTGTCGAAAAGGGGGGTTGTCGCGTTCCGCGCCACAAGCGCTCTGTTACATACCCCTTGAAACGCCAGCCTGTGAAATACCCCTTGTCGCGCAGCCTTCATGTCTTCCGCAGGACA